TATCCTGCTACTGTGCTGAACTCTTTTATCACCTCTAAGAGTTTTTGGGGTTTTTTTTTTGTCTTTTGTCTTTTTCCGTGTCCAGCAACGGATCGCAACCCTCAGTGTTGCCCCCGTACCGGACTGGGGACCGGCAACGGGACTGCAACCCTCGGTGTTGCTCCCGCGCCTCGCTCAGCCAGTGAGCAGGAACCGGTCTGTATGTGGGATCCGAACCCTCGGGCGGGAGCGCCGCCACGCTTCCCAAGCGGCGCACTATCCAGTGCGCCACCGGGCCGGCCCCAGAACCACAGTCTTAACCAATAGACAATACTGACAATTAAACGTTGGACTACCTAGGTTGGCCCTCTATTTTTCTTATGTTTGTTATTGCTTCCCAACTATCCTTCCATCTTTTTTATCTTTTTGCAATACTTTCTCATTCCACTATATAATAGCTGTGTGATCTTGTATAAGTTATTTCCCATTTAAGTCTTTGTTTTCTTACCTATACACGTAAAAGTTAATTTACAGGGTTGTAAAATGTTAGTACCCTTTCTTAACCCTATGAAAGAATAATCTGATAAGGTTAGAAAAGTGCCTAGTCCAGAACTGCTATTACTGTTACCACCACCACCACTACAAGGTTCAAAAAGTTCATGGAACATTTGTACTATCTTTTAATTCAATTTTTCCATGAACTTCTTTCTTGAAGCACCTTCATACCACTACTACTTTATTAACACTGGTACTATATAACAGCCTGTGAAACACCTGCTTGATCAAGGGGGTAAGCAAGTTAATCCAGCTGGGCCAATCTGTCCCTTCCCCTAAGATGTCTGGACTTGGGACCAAAAAAGAGGTCTCTATAATCTCTTTCCAGTAGTTGAACTAGTAAGACATGGAATTTTCAGAGTCATTTAAAAGTATCAGAGCTATACCTCAGTCTTTTTTACGGAATGAAACACAGCTGAGAAAAAACAGGACATTTCTACTGGCTGATTATTACTCACACCCGGACTATGATGGAATGCACAAAATTTCTAGACTTATTCCTAGCAAATACCAAGCTTGGGAGTTTTGCAGATTACACTTCTCTATTAAATGCTCACATCTTCCTTCCCTCATCAATTCTTTCAGGCTACAGCTCTCCTTGGACTGAATAAGAAATTGAGAATCACCTCAAATGTCAACAGGCAGCTCTAAAGCCTTAAGTTGATCTTTCCCTGACAGCACAACCACTGCTATTCTTTTTGTTAGTCTCCACATTCAATGCTATTTTCAGTCTTTTTACCACACTGGTCTTGTATTAGCTCCATGTGAAACCAGTGTGGCAGACGGGCTCTACGTTAGATGCCATGATTCCCACCTCAGGGTATTCACACCCTTGGATAATCCCCTCTCCTTGTGTGGGAGTATGACCTGTGACTTGCTTCTAACTTCAAGAATATGGCAAAAGTGATAGGATGTCTGTGATTACATTCCATAAGAATATAATGCCTTTCTTGCAAGAAGGCAAGACCCTCTCTTCCATACTGGCTTTAAAGAAGTTGCCATGAGTGTGAACTACCTATGAAGAAGGCCATGGGGTAAGCAATTTAAGGTAGTCTCTAGCTGACAACCAGCAAGAGTCCAACAGCCTGCAAAGAACTGCATTCTGTCAACAATCACGTGAGCCTAGAAATAGATCTTTCCCCAACTGAGCTTCCGAAAGACTCAGCCCTGACCAACACCTTGAATACAACCTTGCAAAGGACCCAGCTAAGCTGTGACTAAACTCCCGACCTACAGAAACTGTGAGTTAATAACTGTGTGTTGTGTTAAGCCATTAAGTTTGTGGTAATCTGTTATGCAGCAATAGATAATTAATGTACCAAGCTAGGATCTCAGCTTATACAATTCGCTCATTACAAAAAATATTTATTGAGCACCACCTACTAAATGCCATGTAACAATATAATTCTAGGCACTGGGGATGTAGTAATAAATGAGACAGAGAAAGGGCTTGTTCAAGTCAGTTAATAAAATAAATATCTAACATAAAGTCAACTAGTGATGGGACTATTTCAGCAAGAACTGAATGGGGTGAAAAAGCATGCCATGAAAAGATCCTCTGGGGAGAGTACTCGAAGTAGAGGAAATAGCAAGACTTAAAGCCTGGATGCAGGAGTACGCCAAGTCCAAGGAATAGAAAAAGTCTGAGGACTGATCATATAGAGTCTTGAAGAAATCTAACTGTGAAAGCAAGTTTTTAAAGTGTTTTCAGTAGGGACTGACATGATTTGATTCAGTTTTTAGAGGTCACTCTGGATACTGTGTAGAAAACATAAGAGGATGGGGAAAGAGAGGCAGAGAAGCCAATCAGAAGACTACTTAAGGTGAGATGATGATGGTCTGTCCTAAAGTACTGGTGTTAGAGATGGTGAGAGGTTATATAGTATCAAGACATATTTTGAAGGAGAGAACTGAACTTAGGCCACCAGAGGTGGGAAGAGTGGTGTCAGCAAGAAGTTGGTAAAGGGCCACAAAAAATGATTACATTGTGTAATGCTGAATATACTAATTATCACGATTTGAGCATCACATATTGCACACAGGTACTGATATTCAACGCTGTACCCCACAGATATGTACAATTATGTTTCAACAAAAAGAAAAGATATATTTGGAAGGTACAACAGACAGCATTTGCTCATAGCTCAAATATAGGACTGAAGAGAGAAGAATAAAAGATGACTTCTAGGTTTAGTGCATAAGCAATTACATGAATGATGGTACCATTTACTTCAGGAGGAAAACTGGAGAAAAAACTGATTTGATGGGGAAAAATCAAAAGTTCTGCTTAGACTTATTACATCTGATATGTTTATTATACATTCAAGTGGAAATGTCAAGTAGGAAAGTGAATACACAAGTCTAAAACTCAAGGGAGAGGTTGACTCGAGCTCAAAATGTGAGCATCAGATTACAGATGATTTTAAGATATGTACAGTAAGAGAGCATATAAAGAAAGAATATAGATAAAGAAAACATCCAAGGACTGAGTAAGCCAGCAAAGAGACTGAGCAAGAATAGCCAGTGATACAGAAGAACCAGGAGAGTGTAGTGTCTTAGAAGCCAAACAGAGAAAAAGTTTTGAATGGGAGGGAAAGAGATCAGCTATATTAATTACTGATGAGCACTGAGTATCAGTACCTGTGTGCAATTTGTGATGCTCAAAGATGAAGACTGAGAATGACCATTCAGTCTGTAAGAAAGTAGTCAACAGTAATCTTGATAAGTTAAATGATGGCAAGAAAAACTAGAAAGGAGACAAGAAATAATGGGAAATAAAGATGTGGAGATGATCATAAAGGACAATCCAATAATAGGACCAGAGGAAATAGTGCAGTAAATCAGGGGTGGAGGTGTGTGAATGAGGTCAAGAGAGGAATTCTTTTTTAACTTTTTTATTTAGTATGAGCAGTATTATGACATGCTTGTATGCTGTCAGATACAGTCTGGTAGAGAGCGGAAAATATAATGCTGGAGAAAGGGATGATAATTGTAGGAACAAAGTTCCTGAACAGACAAAAAGGAATAGCATCTAGTGCAAACATGAAGCTTAGGCTTTAGACAAAATGGAGACAAGTCATTCACCAGAAAGGCAGAGTGTATACGTGGATGCTTATAGTGAACAATGAATTAAAATAAGCCACTTAAGTGTTATATCACCTATACAACAAAACACTAAATTCAAAATCCAATATTCCTTCTAAGATTAAAACCTTTAAGAAGGAAACACAAAGCTAACATAACATTTTAATTACTAAATTTAGTTACATGCAAATTAGGAAGAGAGAAAATTTATTTTAATTCTTCTCAGAGTAAAACCTACCTGGACTCTCCACTCTCTTATAGTGGTATGGATTGATACAAACTTCTTTTTGCTTAGATCCAAAAGGAAATTCACAAATATCCAATGGCTTTAGCTCATGATGACTCTGTAAATCAGGCCAGCGCCAAACACGACAATATATAACGTGGGGTAAGCCTTTTCTGTGAGAAACTTGCAGGCGTCCATCTAAAGATCTGGGAATAGTAACACATTTGCTCGGCTGTCCTGGACTGCTCAAGGCTTTCTCCAGTTCCTCCATGGCACCCTTTTTCTTTTTTAGCTTTTTCACCAAAGCATCGACTGCCTTTTCTGCCCATTTCTCCTCCTCATCACCTTGCTTCCAGCCCAACAATCGTTTTACTGCTGGACTAGTAAAAGAAAACAAGCTGGCCATTGACGTCATTTGATACAAATCTTCAGAGACCTTCCTGTAACTCAAAGTCAGAAGCTACTGAAAGGACAGATCCCAGCTGAAAAGTCATATACAGGTCCTAAGCAGTTCTGATTTAAAAAGGAGAAGTAACATTTATCTTCAGAAGTACCATATGCTTCTTTCATTGGTTCAAGTTCTGTAGAAAAAGGGAAAAAGGGTCTTAATTTAAATCAATTCAACTTACATACATTTAGATCAAGTAATTGAAAAGCATGTTATTTTTAAATAAGAGCAGAAAAGTATTACAAAGTAAAACAAAAAACAGAAGTCTCTAAAGATATTTTCTCTGAAAGTTCTGTAACCACTCACTTCCTCCTTAACATGAACAAATAATTCACTAGCAATGCCAAATGATAACCAAAAGCAAAAACAAGCTGTTCTACGTTCTCTATTATCAAAAAAAAAAAAAAAAGCCTCTGGACTTTACTTCTTTTGGTCAGGCCACTAAGCCCTAAAATAGTCTTCCGAGATTTGATTCTGAAGTACTTTTCTTCATTGAAATCCATTTACATGCTATGTCAATTTTGAACTTGATATGTCCTGATCTAAACAAAAGCTTTAAAAGAAATCTAGCTCTTCCCAAAGATTATTATTATTCTCTTTTAAAATTTTCCATAGACATGTAAGATTTGGGCAAAAGCCATGCTACTACTCAAGTCACATTATTGGATGCAAATTGTATTAAAGGTTGTCATAAGATGTACCAAACCCTCAAATAAATCATAACACATATAACTGCTAGACAAGTGGCAAGTATCTATTTTTAAAACTAAGAATGCTGAATAGGTTTAAAGAAAATTAATAATTTAACCCAAAAAAGGTCAGCTTATCACTGTATAATATCTGTTGGCTTCTGTAATACTTTAAGCCTATTAGTTAAGGAACCTGCTCCAGGCAAACTACCGTTCCACACCATTAAGAAGCTCTTGGTGATGATGACAAGAGGAAGGGATGTGCAGTGTTAGTCCACTGATAAGAGTGGGTAAGATCCCCTGTAGATCGCTACACTGCCAAGTACAGATAATGAGCAGCTAATGAAATTGCAAGAATAATGTTTGGAAAAAGGATATCAGTAACCAAAGATGGTTTCTTTCTTGTGCCTAAAATAGCCAAATAATGCTGTAACTTTGCCTTTGACAATTCTAGCATCAGGACTATTCTGGATTAGGGTGCACCTTCCCAGAAGAGAACACAAATGCCCTGTTAAAACTCAGGTAAACACAAAGTAAAGTGAAACTGAGTTAAACTCAACAAATAATCCTTGATTACTTATAATGTGCCATGTATTGTGAACAGCCATGATGGGGCTTTAAAAGGAAAAATGTTACACCAAATAGGTTTCATCTAAAAAGCCAACAGATTCATTCACTCAAGATATACTTACTGAAGGCCTACTAGGTGCCAGGCATTATTCTGAGTGCTGGCTATCCTGTCTGCTATGCTGGAAACATGGGGGAAGCATGCATGAAAGGAAGATATACGCCTTACCTGGGGGTATCGTGCCTTGTCTTGCCTTCTCCGGCCCTATGTAGGATGATCTTTGCCAGGCAAGCAAAACTGGTTACATTAAACTAGAGAAATATAACGAGAATGAAAGTGTGTTTTTTCAGAAACAAGTCAGAGTATAAAGTGCTTGCTATATGCTAAACAAACTGTAAAAAGGGCCCACTTCAGTTCTAGGTACTTCAAGGATGTAGGGTAAAATCCATCTGGGTCAGACAGTAAAGGCATAGTTTGGTTGTGTGAGATGAGAAGGAAAATCTCAAAGGTAAAGAGACAAAAAAATATGTAGGTAGACAAGAACAGAATATTTTCCTAGGATAGAGAAGAGACAGGCCTGGCTGACTGAGATCTTATTCAGGAATACTGGAATAAAATGGGCACTGGACAGGGCAGTGCATGTGCTGAGAGTGTGTGCTCACACACTCCCTGAAGAGAGTATGAAGAGATAAGCCGAGGATGAAGGAGGAAAAGTAGAGGAGCTTGAAGACCAGAATTCAGAATACACACTTCATTCTAAATTTAGCAGTAAGTACAGAAACAATACAATTAACTGTGATAAAAAGGGCTTACATATGATAGAAGAACCCTATGCAGCCATTAAAAAGAATAAGGTGGATACTGTAACTTTGGGCAAGGTCATTTACCTCTATGTCTGTTTCCTCATCTATAAAGTAGGAATAAGTTACAGATAAATCATTTAGAACTGTGCAGAGTGTACAGAAAGTACTTAATAAATGTTAACTACTAATCATCATTATCATCATTATTAAGTACTAACCATATCATTTCACAATAACATGAAAAAAAGGAAAAGTTATTTATGTGTGTAAACACAGAGAACAAGTGCTACATACTACATTACCCATTGTGCTCACCTCTAAGGAGAGGCATGGAATGGAGGAGAGGCAGAAGAAAGGGGTCCTGCAAGATTTGTTCTACATAATTCTGTATAGTTTTAACCTTTTAACAAAGGGTATTTATTAAACCATCACTTGCACAATGCTAAAATAAAAACAGTAGCTGGTACAAAAACCAAGTGAAACTTATGCTAGGATGGTGGTTACCCTTTGAAGGGAAAGATGGGATTAGTAACTAGAAGGAAACCTGAGGGGCTTCTGCTGTTCTGGTAGAGTTCTGATTCTTGCTCTGGGTGGTTACATGGGAAAGTTGAGTTTGTGAAAATTCAGTTGGTTGGATACTTCATATTAATATAGAAAGAGCTTCCACATTCTTTTCTACTGCACAAAATACCAGTACAGAAGTAATCTTACAATTATTTCATTCCCCTGCTCAAAAGTCATCTGGTGTCTTCCCATTACACTCAAAACCAAACTCCTTAACACTACTTTATAGGATCTACATGTTCTGGCTCTTGGCTTCTCCTCCAAACTCATTTCTTAATCATTCTCCTAGCAAACGGTACTTAACCACACTTGACTTCTTTCCATTTCTCAAGTATTCCAAAGTATTTAAGTTCTTTGTACTTCAAGTTCCCTCACCTGGAATTCTCTTCACCCAGATTTTACCATAGGTTACCCTCTCAATTCAGTTGCTCAAGTCACTTACCGAAAAAGGAATTCCCTGACCACTTACCTAAAATAGCACATATCCCACTCCCACATCATTCTCTATCCCCTGACCCTGTTCTAATTATTTCAGAAATGAGACAATGCAGTACTTTTTTAAAAATGTTTTTTCTAACTATAAAATATACACATCTATAATCACATCATTAACATTTAGCATAATTACTTCCTTACACATTTGTGTATATATACAGACTTCCTTGCATATGTGTATATATACAGACTTTCCTACCACCACCAATGATTGAGAATATACCATAATAACTACTTAGTATTCTGCATTTTCCACTTAACACAATAAGCATGTGCCCTCCCCCTCACTCCAATTAAATGTTTTTAATGGCCCGACCAGATTTCCACTCATCCTCTCCCTTAATATTTAACATCTAGGCTTCTTTTTTTTTTTTTTTCCTTTTTGTCTTTTTTCGTGTCCGGCAACAGATGGCAACCCTCAGTGTCGCACCCGTACCGGACCGGGACCGGCAACGGGATCGCAACCCTCGGTGCTGCGCCCACACCTCGCTCAGCCAGTGAGCGGGAACCGGTCTGTATGTGGGATCCGAACCCTCGGCGGGAGCACCACTGCGCTCCCAAGCGGCGCACTGTAGCAGTGCGCCACCGGGCCGGCCCAACATCTAGGCTTCTAAATTAATGAAACTATCTATAATAAAAATTAAAATGTTAAACTGAAATTATATACCTATATAATGTATCCATTTTCTCCTATAAGCATTTCTGTATAATATATCATGTTCAAAATACCTTGGTTATATCAAACTAAAAAGCTTCTGCATAGCAAAAGAAACAATTAACAGAGCAAAAAGACAACCTACAGAGTGGGAGAAAATACCTGCAAACTATGCATCCAACAAAGGATTCATATCCAGAATACACAAGGAACTCAAACAACTTAACAGTAAAAAAAGAAATAACCCAATTTAAAAATGGGCAAAGGAGCTGGAAAGGCATTTTTCAAAGGAAGATATAAGAATGGCCAGCAGACACATGAAAAAATGCCCAAAATCACTCAGCATCAGGGAAATGCAAATCAAACACACATTGAGATATCATCTCACTCCAGTTAGACTGGCTATTACCAAAAAGACAGAAAAACAAATGCTGGCAAGGATGCGAAGAAAGGGGAACCCTCCTACACTGTTAGTGGGACTGTCAATTGGTAAACCCATTATGGAAAACAGTATGGAGATTCCTCAAACAACTACAGATAGAATTGCCATATGATCCAGCAATCCCACTGCTGAGTATATACCTAAAGTAATGGAAATCATCATGTCAAAGAGATACCTGCACTCCCATGTTTATCGCAGCTCCATTTACAATAGCCAAGAGTTGGAAGCAACTTAAATGTCCATCATCAGATGACCAGATAAGGAAAACTTGGTATACTACTCTGCCATAAAAAAGAATGAAATAGTGCCATTCGCAGCAACATGGATAAACGTAGAGAAAATTATGTTAAGTGAAATAAGCCAGGCACAGAAAGAGAAATACTACACATCCTCACTTACAAGTGGGAGCTAAAATAAAAATAAACAAATAAATAAAAAAAGAAAGACACAACAATCATAATAATACATTGAACTTCCAAAAGGAGAGAACAGAACTGAGGGTACCAGTGGTGGGAAAGGAGAAGAGAAAGGGGAAGAGGGTGAAAGGGAAAAATTCGTAAAGGGCCACAAAAATCTATTACATTGTATAATAATGAATATACTAATTATTCTGATTTGAACATCACATATTGCACACAGGTATTGATAGTCAATGCTGTACCCCACAGATACATACAATCGGTTATGTTCCAATAAAAAATAAATTAAAAAATAAAAATAAAAATAACACCTTGGCCCACAAGTTGAAACAAGAGTATCACAGAGGCTGACAAACAGCAATAGATACATTTTACTGTCCTCATAAGTCCTTGGTTATGAAAAAATTTATTATGTATATAAAAAATGGAATAAGATACCAAACTTTCTCTGATTTGCATATATTAGCAAATGCTACCCGAGCCACAAGTGAATTTGCAATACCCTTGAAAGTAAGAGTATTTTTAGGTTTTCCAGAAACCAAATAGTTTCATTTTATGAGTCTCTTATCGAAAAGTTGATTGAATTTTTCATGTCCTCTTTGCCTTTCCCTAAATAAAACAAGTTTAGAAACACTGAGAATGCCCATCTTCAATTCGATCAGCTCTTGTATACATAACAGTACATAATACTCTTCTACATTATCTCATTATCTCTAAACTTATCCTAATAATAGAGAAAGTCCCAAAAGGCTATGCTCAGCAACTGCAACAGTCTTTATAAGTTACAGATTACCGGACAGTTAAATTTTGGTCCTCTGTACTCCCTCTACCTTTCTACAATGCTTTCAGGGTCAACTAAAGCAAAAATACAACCAGAGCTAAACTTAATCTCAGTCTTACAGCCTTATTTACACAACACATAATAATTGAGTGCCTGCAAAGGGCAAGACACTAAGCTAGATACTAAAGGACTGAAATAACTCAGATCCAGACCTTAACTCTAAAGAATTACAAATTAATAGAACTAAAATGTGTCCATACCTACCTACAATACAAAATTGGAGAGAGGAGACACCCTAAGGGTATAAAGGGTGCTAAAAGGAATTCAGGGGATGGCCTTTGGGAAGGAGGGTGAAGGGAGACATAAAGCATGAAGTAGCTATATCTTGGGCATAAATGTTAATGTTTACCTATCAGGATGAGGAAGTATTACAGATCAGTTTGCTGGAACAACAGAACTGGCTGGAACGATAGAACTGGCTAGAAATATACAATAAAGCTAATCCACACGGGGATATTAACATATGTATTATAACACATAAAATCACCAGATTTGAAGTCTAATGAATGCAGGTTCAGATTCTGAATCTAACACTTACACTTAAAATCTCCATTTTTCAGGCCGACCCTGTGGCTCACTCGGGAGAGTGTGGCGCTGGGACCCCGAGACCGCGGGTTCGGATCCTATATAGGAATGGCCGGTGCACTCACTGGCTGAGCAGGGTGCGGGCGACAGCAAGCCAAGGGTTACAATCACAAAACAAAAAATCTCCATTTTTCTCACTTTGTATAATCATACCACGGCCCTAAAGAGATGTAAGAATTAAATGAGGTAAACATTTAACTCAGTGCCTAGTGCAATACTCAGTAAACGGGAACTGTAGTTATTATTGCTGTAACAATCACAAACATTTTTGATATCAGGCTGAGAATTTTTTAGTTGTACATGTATCTTTTTTTTTTTCCTTTTTGTCTTTTTTTTACTGACCGGTAACAGGATCGCAACCCTCTGTGTCGCGCCCGTACCAGGGACCGGCAACGGGATCGCAACCCTTGGTGTTGCGCCCGCACCACGCTCAGCCAGTGATCGGGAACCGGTCTCCACATGGGATCCGAACCCTCGGCAGGAGCGCCACCGCCACACTCCCAAGCA